TGTTGTTTAGACTGCTCACATAATATATAACAAAACACTTCACCAACCTCAGTATGGTTGGTGAAACAAAGAAGAAACAGGGAAGTTTTCAGCATCAGATAATCCAATGTGGCTTGAAAGATTATTTCATTATATACTTCTTCATGAGTAAATACAGCCATTGTTGTAAAAACTTTCCACATGTTGTTTCAATGTATGCCTACATGCTTCATAATTGTTTAACAATGTTTCGTACAATTGATTTCCTTCACTTCCTCTCTCTCTCTGTAATAGAGCCAAACAGAGAAATTGGCTAAAGTCTATCAGCCAAAGCGTGCCATCTTATCTGCTAAATCTGCTATATCTGTTGCACACCTTTTGGCAGCTCGGCAAGATTTATCAAAGATAATGAGGACTAGCAGTGGCTCTATCAGAGAAAAGACTGCATGTGCCATTAATAAGGTATTTGTGTTGTTCAGATGATGTTTTTTTAATTTGTACATATTTGTGTTTGTTAAGGAATTGCATTGGAAGAAAATTGTACTCATGCAAAATTTCATGGTTTTCTGTGCATATATGAACCTTGAGTTTCCATCCTTTTCCTTGTTCCTTTTGCCAAAATTAATCCCTCCCTCCCTTCCTTCCTTCCTTCCCTAGGACTTATGATGTTATTGCATCAGAGCTGACTTCTCTGAGCTGGAAATGATTGGCCATTAATGGCAATTTAGTTACTTGGTTTATGTTTTTATACTTGCTTGTAAAAGCAAGGTTTGAATTTGTAAGCAAAACAGTAACATGGGCATACTTGTACTAATGTACCAGCTAGCAAGCTTGTTCATAAAAAGGTAATGTAATGCCTGATTACAGATGTACTCAGGGATGTAAAAATGCTTGCAGTAAATCATCTGTAACATACTGTAGATTACATCTGACATTAGAAAAGAGTGAATGCCAGGTTCGTTCCACTGAAGGATTTATTTGATACCTTTGGAAGCTGTATACACAGCCCAGTCTATTTTTGTACTATATCGATCAGTTTAAGGCTATTTTTCCTTCAGAGATTAAAAACATGCCATATTATTTAGAGTTTCAGACTTTAGAGCTTTGCCTAACAAAACCATGCTGTTTGAACTGAGCTGTATTTTAAATCCACGATTGTGATTATGATATTCTTTAAATTCTAACTTTCCCCAAAATTAATTACTGTTCTGTGCAAGAACAAACCACACTGTGGTTTGACAATTTGGCGGATTGGCTGAAGAGAGTCCCAATCTGGCCAAACCAAAATTGGAATGTTTTGGTTTTCAGCCAAGACAAAATCTGGAAGGATATTACAGGGTACTTATAGAATGAGTAGGCAAGACTTATGGGTCTCTCCTCTCTTCCTCCACAGGCCTGTATCCTAACATGCCTGATGATATTCCCAGTGTATCCTTCCCTTTGTCTCCCCTTTACCTTCCCTTTACTTTAATTGAAGCATAGTGTACTCCACTGGCTAGTCTGTGCTTGGAAAAGTCCGGCTGGAGAATATTTTCCTCACCAGTAAATGCTTTATAAGCTTTATCTTTGGAAGCGTCTTTTCCCTTGCTAAATGAAGGAGTTTGTATTTTTCCTTGCAATGTTTTATTTATTTTTTTCCTTACATGGACTCAAATTTATATAAGCTTTTTTTTTTTAAAAAAAGATGATGATGTATTGGCATACTTTTGCATTTACTTTTTCGCCGTATTGGTTTTGTTCCCTTTTAGGTGCTTATGGGCAGAGTGCCTGACCGAGGTGGGAGACCCAATGAAATCGAGCCACCTCCACCTGAGATGCCACCATGGCAGAAAAGGCAAGATGGTCCTCAACAGCAAAGTGGTGGCAGAGGTGGAAGAGGTTGCTATGAGTCATCCTATGGAGGCCGAGGAGGCTATGACCAAGGGAGTTATGAAAGAGGAAGTCGAGGAGGATATGACTCCTATGGAAACAGAGGGAGTCATGAGCACGGGGGTCACGAACGAGGCCGTGGACGTGGTGGCTATGACCATGGTGGCAGAGGGGGAGGAAGAGGAGGCAAACCTCAAGGTGGCTGGACCGATGGTGGAGGAAGTGGCTATCAAGATGTCTATAGGGATAATAATTACAGAGATTCTGGATTTCAAACTGGTGGTTACCATGGTGGTGGCAGTGGAGGTGGCTACCAAGGAGGCGGATATGGTGGTTACCAATCATCCTATTCAGGAAGTGGATATCAAGGTGGAAGTGGCACCTATCAACAAGACAGATACCAAGATGGGCACACCGGTGATCGAGGTGGAGGTCGTGGAGGAGGGCGAGGTGGCCGCGGAGGCCGTGGCAACCGTGGTGGGCAAGGAGGTGGCTGGGGAGGAAGAGGTGCACAGAACATTAATCAGGGGGGTCAGTTTGAGCAGCATTTCCAGCAAGGGGGATATCAGTACAATCAATCTGGATTTGGACAAGGAAGACACTTCACAAGTTGAGGCTATAAAAGTTTCTCAATTGGCAGAGCTCATGTAATAGTAGTCTGCTTAATTTTTTCTTTTTGACTTAATATCAGTCGACATGTCAGGCTGACCTTTCCAACTATTTGTGCTTTTGAGCATACATGAAAATATGGATACACTGCCCAAGTCTAAATGCAGTTTTCTTCTCCGGGACTCAGAACTTTTAATACAGCAGCCGAGATTCTATATCTTACAGTAAACTGGAGATTCAGAATGCATGGGTGTTCATGCAAGTAATATGAGAACCAGTATGCCTATCTTTTTACATGGACTTGTTTTTTTCCCATGTAAATCCTTCTCTTATTTATATACCATATTGGATTGCTGACTTCAGATCTATACTGTAACGCTGCACATCTGTGTAGTTAGCTGTGCATAAGTCCAGTTAAGTCAGATGGATTTAAGCATTTTAACTATGCAAAGAATTGCAGTCTTCTTTGCTAGGCCCTGGATTTATTATATGAGCTCTACTGCTAGTAACTTGTTCAAGTAGCCTTATTGCTCTGACTGAAAACACATGTCAAATCAAATATCCTGACACTCATGCCATGCAAAATCATAGTTAGTCAAGCTAAGTTGTAAAGAGAGACTAGAAATAGCCCCATGCTTCCTTATACGTCCACCTTGCTCTCATCAATTACAAACCAGTTGGTCCCCTGATCAGCCTAACTTTTACTTGAAACTAGCTAGCAGTAATGGCAGCCTGGAACCATTTTTTATGCACTAATTAGAACCACTCAACCCAAAATGCAGAATGGTTTCATTTTGTCATTGAACTCAAGATGAAATATCCTTCTGCTCAGTTTGTTACATTTTTCTTCACTAAAAGTTGCATTAGTGCGCCTTGCCTTTACTTTTTGGTTTATTTGCAAATAGAAATATTGTCAAGCTGTGAAAAGAAAATGGCTGAAGGTGTGCTCTTGTAAAAGGTGAGCAATAAAAAAAAAATAACTGTCCTTCCTTTGGCTTATTGGTCCTTAACATTACAAAAATGAATTGCTTTGTTTCTTTAGCATGAGGTGGAAGAAGCATCTTACAGTTGAAAGCTTGTTTTTAAGACTGTAAAAAGAATTGGATTGGTGGACTGTTCTGCAGTAAACAGAACTGGAGATGGGAAGAAAATACCCTGTATTTATCTCAAAGAGAAGCATTATCATCTAGCAGGAATTGATTGTCCTCTTATTGATACTAAATTACGTCTGGCAGAACAATTTTAGAAAGCCGTGAGAATGGGAATGGCAGAAGAAAAACACTTAACCCATTCTGAAATATATTGGTTCACTTTACAGGGGCACCAACTAATTTTTCATCCAGGTTTGTATTGCATTCTTTGACTCATCAAGCCCATTTGTTCCACTTCATAGTTACCAAGTATGCATATTTTGAAGTCAATGTGCTAAAAGTGTATTGAGAATTCTGGTCACTAGATTCTGAAAATAAGATATTTATAGCTCAGTAAAAATAGTTCCTAAAAGCTCTGATATTTGCAGCATAAAATAGTTCACAGTTTTAAAAATCTCCACTAGGTGCTGCTCCTGATACACAACTTAAAAATACATACCATCTTCTTGTTAATCATTGGATTAGAGGACGACGGTGTTCCGTTATCACATACAGAAAGTTTTGCATATATGTCTTTAAATGTTTGTGGCAATTTTTTTTTAAAAAAAGCTGCTGTGCATGGTACCAATAGTGCAAATAACATTTCAAGTAGTTTGGTATCTTGGAAATCTTTGCTGAAATTACTACTACTTAACATGGGTGAGGACACCTTTTTAGAGATATATAAACATGTTAGGTGAATCAAAAACATATAAGACATAATAGTGAATTAACAGCTTGTATATTGTATTGTGCATATTGACCAATATGTCAACATAAAAGAATTACTGAACAGCTAGCACAGGTAGGCAATGCCTGTGTAAGATATTTCAGTCTATGGACAACTAGGATGGCATGAAATCTTGACCGGGAAAGAAGTCTGCTATGTGAAAGTAACAAAAATTATTCTTGGTTGTGGAGCTCAGTTGAACTTTAAGCGGTTTTTCAATTCTTTGTTTTGTAGGTATAGGTAGTCCTTGACTTACAGCCACCATTAAGCCCCAAATTTCTATTGACACATTTCTTAAGTGAGTTTTGCCTCCTTTGACAACCTTTCTTGCCTCAGTTGTTAAGTAAATAGATGCAGTTGTTAAATTAGTAACATGGGTGTTAAGTGAATCTGGCTTCCCCACTGAATTTACTTGTCAGGTCGCAAAAGGGGATCACGTTACCTCCCCCCCCCCCAGGACATAAATATGAATCTTTGAATTTTGATCACGTGACTATGGGCATGCTGCAAAGGTTGCATGTGTGAAAAATGGTCATAAGTCCCTTTTGTCAGTGCTGTTGTAACTTTGAACGGTCACTAAATGAACTGTTGTAAGTTGAGAAGTACCTGTACTAAAATAAGCAGGTTCAACCCCCCCCCCCCACCACCCCCCTCCGAAACTTTCCCCTCCCTGGGTCGCACTTTCTTGATAATATGGAAAGTCTCTCTCTATATATATATTGTACTCTAGGGAATTTCCACAGATATGCAAAGTGAATGTTAATTGATACCTGACTGGTAGAAGGAAGATATGTATATAAAAAGGCTTCTCCTTAAACAGAATTGATTATTTATATGTTTCTATTCCTAACCCCGTCCAGTGGGAATTATGTAGTAACATACAGGCCCCTATCTAAATCCAAAATAAGTCACAATTATTCTGCCTGCAATAAATTGATTTTCCCCCAGAAATCCTTATAATTTCAAAAACATGTATAGGCCTGTCTAAATGATGTATAAGAAATAATCTGTCAGTCGAGAGATGGTTAAAAAATGAAGTTGAAAATTAGTTATCTAAGCACAAAGGCTAGACTTCTTTTTTTCCCCTCAGGAGTAGCTAAAATAATGAGAAGATACAAAACATCTAATTTTTAAATATCAATAGAGTAAGCACCAGAATTCCATACTTTAGTTGTTTGCAAATAATGCAAAAATGTTGCATTTTTTTTAAATGGATAAATCTTATGGATGATTTTAAGACCTAGGTTTATGAATTACAGCCTTTTCTGGCAATTTGGTGGAAGTAGTGAGAGATATTAACAGAGAAATAGAATCTGCTAAATATTAATTTTAAAAAAGGTTCCCTTATATTTTGCAACATAGAATAAGTTATAAATTGAAGTCACTCCAGTTATTTGGATTTAAATAGGCAGAAATCCATATTGTCAAGGCAACGATTAATTTTATGTTTTTAAAACAGAAATAAATATCTTTGTGGCCATATCACAGATTAATAATGTGGCAAGATTCTGTGCAATTTACAATTTAGCCCAGAGGATAATGTTTCAAGCAGATGCATGATTGCAGCTGGCCTCTTTCAAAATTACAGTACTGAGCAAGATGACACATCAGAATGTTACTGAATCTCTAGGTAAGGATACTGATTCTATCAACTCTGATTTTCATCAAATGTGCTGTATGTTATAAAACATTTGCTATTTATAAAATCCAGTGTTTATTTCCAGTTTGCTAAAAGGTGTGAAAATCCCACAAAACTGCTCCAACAACCATGAAATTAAACATAATACTTGTTTACATCATTCTAGGAAACAGTGAAAGACCAACTTTTATTCTTCTTTCAGATTTCTTTAGCTTGGTGCTTTCCAGGTGTGGTTGGCTCTTAGCCATGCTGGGGACGATGGGAATTGTGAACTGCACTTGGCAGATATTAAGATCGAAGAAAGCTAGGCTAAATTACACCACCTAAACTCCACAATCTTTGTATGCCAAGTATGTAATATTGTTTCATCCAGTTCTGTGAATTAAGTAGCAAGCACACATTGTGGATTATCACAAACTGAATATAAAAATTTAGATAGCTTCATACGTGTTGAGAAATAATATTTTTTAAAGAAAACCCTCAACCTAATGACTCTAATATGTGAATGTAGCCACTGGGGAACCTGAGCTCTTAGTTCCAGGAAGAAAATCAGCTTTCAGTTAATGGGGGATGTGGCAGGTTGACAAAATTTGGATCCAGGAATTTTGATAACTGATACTTCGATAAGCCCATATGATTTTGGTAGTGATGGTTTTAGTAGTGATAGATTCAGAGCCAGGATTCTGTTGCTGGCAACAGAATTGCAGGTGTTCTACAGTTATAATGTTCCTTTGTTTTCCATCAGTGCAAGATTGATCAAATTACTTGTGTGACAAAATAAATAGTGTAGTCTTGTCATTGTCACCAGTGATAAAATCTGATGAATATAACATTGGTATGAAGTTCAGCCATATCCAGGCGATTTATAAAATATCACACAGTTTTCTTGAATTATCTTCTGACTGCAGATTTTCTGAAGCAAATCAACAAGCCTAAAATAAATCAAAGGAAACAATTCTCAGTGTTTTGTTTAGCGGAGATTGATATACATATTTCAAGAAGAAAGACACAAAATCAGTATTACCAGGCTGAATTGTATTGGTTCAACATGCAGGGATTCTGTGCTTTAATCTACCTATATTGTATACTAATATTTATTTGCTGTTATGGATAAGAATATGGCTTCTTCACCTTGGCATACTGATTTTCTGTCAGCAGGAAGCTTTTAACATGCAGCCATTTAGTCTGAAACGGGTGCATTAGGTAGCTTCTATTCTACTATTTATTTCTGTACAATTTATAAGGCTGCTTAACTCCATAGTGGTTCTTGGCAGCATATGACTGAAAACAGCATGAAAACAATATAATAGAAAAATATATATAAATATATGGACAAAGTAATGAAACTTCCCCACACATTTTCAGTGGCCTCATTTTGCTGTTAAAACAAGTGGGGTAAGAAATTTGAACCCTATAACACTCCATATTTCAGGAGCTTTAGGCAGAAACTTTCCCATCAATACCATAGCAATCAACCATTGGCAAAGAAGAACTACCATAATATGGCACCCACTGTCAGTTCCTACAGGCGGTCATGTATCAACTAACCCCTCTTGGCTCCACTAGTGATCATCAACAGTTATCACCACTGCTTTCTCACTCATGTGCCCCAGTATGAGAAGTAATTGCGAAGGGTTTACATAATCTGATCCCTCCAGGATCATTTAAAGCCCCAGCCTGACTGCCTACATAGTATTCAGCAATCTTTTCTACAAAGAGATGGTTGGAAAATGGATGAAAATTGTTGTGGACTGTTGAGTCCAGCAGTGACTTTCTCAGGAGAGGGCACATACCGCCTCTTTCAAAGACAGGTTCAACCATCACCTCACCTCACAGAGACGGACACTACCACATTAGATAGCCTTCAAACCAATCATTTTTATCTCAAGTATTGAGTTCTAAATATAAAATCTCTGCACATCATATGTAACACAGTGGCCAATCTCAAATACATTGTCATAATAGGGAGGATATACACAGTAAACATATAATTCCATATATACATTACTTTATCTAATGGAAAAAAGTTCCTGAACTTATTTGGTTATTAAATTTATATGTCGCATTGATGTATATGGCGTGCCTACATATATATGTCACCAACAGGACATAATTTACCCTGTAGTTTACAGTTGCAAAAACAGCATGTTAAAATTTATGATGTATTGTGAAAGAAGGAACAGGGTTTTAAACCCTTAAGAATTTTATAGTACAAACCTTGACTTCCTGTCTTTCTAGAAGAGTCTCTGTTCCATTTTGATCCATCACACATACTGTTGTGTCCCTGTTGACTGGAATGTTAGACTTTTCATTCTCCCATTTTGCAAAACCTTTATTCTTTCCAGATTTACCATAGAACCTGGATTTCATTTTGGGGAAAGTGTGTGATCCCGAATCACCCCAACCTGGTTCATTCCACAGTGGTTCTGTCTGAGTTGCTTGACTAGTGGTTACCCGCTGGAGATGAACTGAAATCTTCTGAGAGCAGCCGGTTACAAGTGTGATTGCTCTGCTATCAAGATCCTGGTTTTGTGGGGTTACAGTGGGAAATTTAAATACTTCATCTTGTACTGCAATATAACAAAGTGCAAATCAATTAAGTCAATGTAAAGTACAAATGTGGAACAAATGTTGGCTAGATAGCAAATTAGTTTCAGCTAGGAAAAATGAAAACATCTCTGTAATTTGAAGTCTTTCAGAACTGGAAAGTATATACCGCACCTGTAATTTACACATTTTTCTTTGAGGAATGCATATACGTTTCACATCCCACAATTTTGATGAAATTAAACACTATTTTAGTTCATCATACTGATAAATCAGAAAAGTTTTAATTATTTCCACTATCTGGTTTATTCTAGAAGTGTGAGACCACAACTCTCAATATGTCAAAATCTACAATAAATAATCCTAGTGTATAGAGCATAGACTTGGGGACGGCTGACCTACAATAACCAATAATTAAATGTGTGACATTTGATACATAAATCAAGAAACCTCCAAGCTGTCTGTTTAAAAATCAAACATTTAAATTCCTAGTAAGCAAATAATCCTACCAATTTCAAGACCAACTAATCTCAGTTAATACTTTTACAAAGAATATATTTCTTTCAAAACCGTAAATAGGTCAATGCAGTCAATAGCAATAAATATCTTATGTTCAGCCATGATTTACACTATCAATCTAGATAGCAAGCAGGCACATTTTGAAGCTTCACATTGGCATCTATCTTATAGGAAAAAAAAAAACTATTTTTTCAAACCCATGAAATGTTTTGCTATTTTTTGTTCTTTTCATTAAATTGGAAATCACATTTATTTCCTAACTAAAGCCAAGTTGCACAAGGAGATTTGTATTTCATACTTTTTCTAACTTATTTTCCACATCTGATAAAATCACATAAACTAAATCCAAGTTTATAAATACTTAATTAATAGGAAATTATCCTTAACATATCCTTTTAGGTTTTTTTAAGTATTTATATCTTCTGGGCATCCACACAAATAGAGTTTCCTGAAAGAGGAAAAAATGAGAACTTAACTTTCTTGTTTTTTTCCCCCCTTGAAATCATTTTGCTTCTTATCCAAGAAGCTTCTTCGGTTCTAAATGAGAAGTGAAGCATTTCTGAGGAAGAAAAAACCTCCAAGAAAGTCATGTTGCCTTTTGAAAAGCACTTTTTGGGACACCTTTGACCTGGATAATTGAAACATTTTCCATGGAAGTGCATTCTACAGCAATGTTACCTGTTTATTATATGTAAGATGTTTCTAAGAGACTCTTCTGCAGATCTTAATGTCTGAAGAGTCTTAACATGAATTAATGTCTTAATACATATTAAGATGGCTTGACTCTCAGGGACTTCCTAACAAGGTAAGCCTTTCAAAGGTAAATCCAGTGTTTTAAACCACAATTTATTTAACCTTTCCCAAAGAGATCTCTTCACACATCAGAAAACTACATTGGAAATTATTTAGGTAAACATAAGAAACACAAATAGTCAATTACTGTTGTGACATAATTGACCCTAAACAAAAATTGAACTCTGTTTCAGATACTGGGCCTGATTTCGGCATACTTGCAAGCAGCAACTACACAGATCCTTATATCGACAGCAGGAGTTCCATATGAAATGGAACAGTGATGATGAAACTTGTATGCAATCTCTAAAGGACTTTTGAGTTGTTGCCAAATACAGATGAGTGCTCTGGTATAGTAATGTATCCTTAGCCAGGAGTGGGAGAACTGGAATCATCAACTATGCAGATTGAGCCCAGTGAATCTTATTGGGAGGATATACCCCATTAAAATAATTTCAGGCTTTCTTTTGCAACTGTGCAAGCTAAATAAGAGGGTCATCTCAAATCAAAACAAAAGCTCGTTATTTCACAAGGACAATAATTAGTGCATTCGAGACACTCATTTCAAATATTGCTGAGGCATGAAAAGCATGGGTTAAACAATGAGCCATGAAATATGGTGTCATTTCTTACCTCCAGGCAGTGATGGACTATTGGGCAAAGAACCGTGACCACTATTCAGTGAAGTCCCCCTGGAAAATTTCCTACAAGCTAGAACTAGCAGATCTCTGCACTGTTTGTGGCAGTTGGCACCACAATCTGGAGTAAATCACCAGCAAAGGAATAAAAAATAGTTAGTTTTGGTAAACTGCTATTTCCAAAATGAGGCAGGCCAGCATAAAATTTGCATTTGTAAAACATTTTCAAAACTCAAAAGTAAAAACCCTGGATAACTGATATTATACGCATGGCAACAGAACATGCAGTGTGACACTGAAAGGGGTATTGGGCATGTTCCTATGGCTATGACATAACAGCAGACATATTTGCTCTTTCCAACTTTTTGGCACTTATAATGCAGCTTGAATAGGTTGCCAAAATGATACAAATATTGCTATGGAGAAAGTATGTTTGGAATCTCATGGTTATGTACTGGGGCAGCATGTAATATGAAATGAAGAAGAAACTGGTAGAAAAAAAAGATTAAAAACTGATTACTACCTCTTCAGTCCAAAAGTAAGAGTTCTACACATAGATTTATTCCTTACTTTAAAATCTCTTTCTCACATTCCCACCTGTCTCAGAATATTAATTGCTTTCAAATAACCAGTTTCTCAACTGGATAAGATCAGTTCATTTTCAGTATAAACATATAAGCAAAATAGGCAGCATTGCAAGGTAGTTAAAGTAAAGCATATTTGAATCCCAGTTAATTTAATGGGAGTTTAATGCCATCAAATGTTAGTAAGAGGAACCTGTGAAAATAGCAGACCAACATAAGTAGTCTGGCCTATCAGTATTTTAACTGCCTCAACTATTAAACCATATGACATCTGGCATGTTATTTCCCCTCTAAAATGCATTTTCCCAATCCTGACTACCAGCTATTTCTGCTGGTCATGGCTCCTTTATACTGCTAGATGTAATGTATTCAAGCATTTTAAATCTCAGCTGCAGGCTGCTGTTAAGGGAAGCAGCACCGATTATTTATATATGTTGGGAAAATTAAATTATGCAGTATTCTGCATGGACTCTAAAGCTGAGCAGAAAGGATTATGCTCTAGTTCCTTAATAAGATTTATGGGCAAATGCATGGAAAATTGCCTGGAAAATTGCCAGGAGCATGGAAAATTGCCAAGAGGCAGGCAGGCAGGTGAGAATGCTCCATTTTTCTGCTTCTCCCAAAGAACTAGTGGTCAGGAGTGAACTATTAGTTAAAAGTTATATGTTTGCAGCAACAAAATTGGATGTAATTCAGAAGCGTAGCAGAGGAGTAAGCATGCACAGGATGACATTGGTTCAGATTAACCTGAATGCAAATATGTATTGAATGGCATTTTTCCAGCAATCAAAAAAAAAATCAAACTCTAGAAATGAAGTGGCTATGCATGATTTACAGTACCTTTGCATTTGTAGCCTTGCTTGATTATACCCCAGAGCTGTAATTAAAGACAAAAGAAATAAAAAAGAAAGCCGGAAGGAACACAACCTCCTTATGAACGTAGTAGCAATGGCTACAAAAGCACAAACAGGAAATTACTCCACTCAACACCCTTCCTGTTAGAAAGAACTATCCATTCAACTGTGAGACTTTGCCCACACATTCCATTGCCCACGAATGAACCAGCACAGAACTGATTCAACAGATCACACAACTGTTTTCCCAGTGAATCAGCAGAAGATTCTTCACCAGAGCCTGTTTCTGCATTTCGGTTAAACCCATTTTCAGAAACCTTGATGCACCATCGAGTTTGGTTTTGCTACCCTGCAATAATATTGAAAATGGACACATACACACCCAACAAGATTGCAATCCTGCACTGACTTATCTGGAAGAAGGTACATGCAACTCGGGTTAAGCTTCCTCCTTTCAGTACTTATGTACAGGATTGCACCATTGAATTTTGTTATCTTTAACGATAAAACTCCCGTGTCTCCCTGATGGGGATGAAAGGCATTGTGCAATCATTCTGCTTCCCTCTTATTACTGTCTAGAACAGGGCTGTCAAACTCTCAGCCCACGGGCCTGAATGCATCACATGCTGGCCATGCCCCCGCCCGGTTTAGCAAAGGGGAAAAAAGTCCCAATATGTCATGTCACGCGGCCGTGACGACAAGAGTTTGACATCCCTGGTCTAGAAGTACTAGATCTCCAAGGTCTTTTCCAGCTCAATTCTGATTCAATCAGAAAAATGGAAAACAGCAATAGTGGAAAAACAGATAAACAAGTGAAGTAAAACCAGTTTCACCAACCATAAAACTACATGGAGACACACTCAGACAACAAACACCTGGCCTACTTTTTCGTATTATGTTTGTGCTCTCTCTCTCTCTCTCTCTCTCTCTCTCTGTATTGAACATTATTCAGGTTTTAAAATAGGGTAGGATCAAGTATGATGGTACTATTATTTATCCTTTAACCCATCTTAATCTTCCTATTCCACCACTGTATACTTACAAATCCAGCACAATGTTCACAGAAAGTTGGCCTAAGATAGGTCATCTCTTGGAAGTTATGTATAAAACCTGGTCCCATTTTACACTGTAGCTGTGATTTAGCTCTTAGAAAATATGCCATCATTTCTCCTTTGCTGATAAGGCCATCCCTGTTTTTAAAAAAAGAACAATGTCAGGAAGGGAAGGGGAAATCAATCATTACCATGCTACAGAAAACAACAGAATTCAGCCTTTTTTCCCCCAAAAGGTTATTTTCTCCAATTTCTGAAAGGTGGTATTTCAACAAATATGGTTTCAAAACCTTCTGATTCTTTTTGGCCAAGTTCCAAGCAGAAATTTGCACAGGAACATTCCTGTAGGCAGAGCTTTGGACCTAACATTTGACATATTTCCCCCGCCACCACCCCTTAACCACCACCCCAAGTTGATATGGGTAATGCTGACCATGAATTACTTTTCCGTATGTTTTCCTTGGGAGCTAATAGATTCAAGGTTCAGATTGTGATTCATTCATCCATTTGTATTAAATGATCTAAGAAAAGATACTGTAATGCAAAATGGGAATACAGGTAGTCCAGACTTACATCCATTCATTTAGCAATAGTTCAAAGTTGCAATGGCACTGAAAAAAGGTGACTTTTGACCAGTGATGAGATTCAAACTTTTTTAGTACTGGTTCTGTGGGCGTGGCTTGGTGGGAGTAGATTGGCTTGGTGGGCATGGCTTGGTGGGCATGGCTTGGTGGGCATGGCAGGGGAAGGATACTGTAAGCTCTCCATTCCCTCCCTACTCCTGGGAGAAGGTTACTGCAAAATCCCTTTCGCTCCTCACTCCACTAACCTGCTTTCCAGCTCCATTCTCCTCTGCAGGGCAACAAAAGAAGACCCAGCCAATCAGCTGGGACTTGGGAGACAGAGAATAGATGGGGCAGGGCCAATCAGAGGTGGTATTTGCCAGTTCTCCGAACGACTCAAAATTTCCGCTACCGGTTCTCCAGAATTGGTCAGAACCTACTGAATACCACCTTTGCTTTTGACCAATCCTAACACTTATGACCATTGAAGAATCCCTATGGTCATTTGGTCAGAATTTAGATGCTTGGCACCCAGCATGTATTTACTACAGTTGTAGCATCCAGGTTATGTGATCCCAATTTGCAACCTTCCAAGCCAGCTTCCAACAAGCCAAATTGATGGGGGAAGCTGAATTCGCTTAATAACAGTGTGATTCATTTAATAACTGCAGTGATTCGCTGAACAACTGTGGCAAAAAGATCATCACATTGGGCACAAATCACTTAACAACTACTTTGTTTAGCAACACAAATTCTGGTCTCAATGGTAGTCATAAGGTGAGGACTGCCTGTATAAGTCATCTGTCCCTTGGAGTATTGAGATGATGACTGAGAAAGAGAAAGAGTGATACCAATCTTGACCATTATTGAAAAGCTGGAGGTAATTTAAAAGAAATAAATGTTGCAGGATCCAAGCTGGGTTGGTCACTGGGATCAGAGGTTTAGTCTTCCAAGTTTTTGGACTGGTGTGGAGCCCATCCTCAGGGAACTTCTCTTTAGTAGTCCAGGGGTCGCCAACCATTTGGACCTCAGGGACCACCAAACTCATATTTTTAAATCCCGTGGACCACTAATATGAATTTTGACTGACGTTGGCTTGCTGACATTGGTGGGAAAGTCAGTCCCATATTCCTGAGCTGCAGTAGTCACAGGACTGGCCCTTTGGTCGTCCCAGAGCAGTTGCTCCTCCATCCACAGGCACCAGCCTGCCATAGACTGGAGGAGCTGCTCCGGGATGACAGAAGGGCCAGTCCTGTGACTACTGCAGCTCTGGAATATGGGACCGACTTTCCCACCAATGTCAGCAAGCCACCCCAGGGAGGATTTCTCTCCCCCGCTGTTGGTCTTACCTTCCAGTTCCAGCTCGCATGGCTCTGCTCAAGGTAAGGTTTGTGCTTGGCCGAAGGGTGGGGGCCAGCGGTTGGGCAGGCCATGTGGGTGGCACAGCCTTGTGTTCCCATGCAGCCTGGATTAATTGTTTGGGGGGGAACATTTCTCTGCGGACCACCAAAAATTTCTTGCAGACCATCAGGGGTCCCTAGCCCACCAGTTGGCAACCACTGTACAAGAATGTGTATCCTGCAACATTATCTTAGGACTTGTATATTTGCCTTCCTTCATGAAATGAACACCGTTTTTTGAAAGTATATTCAGAATTAAGATTGCAAATTTGTACACATGTAATTCAGGAGGTGCCTGATTTGAGAAAATTAGGATTTACATTTGATAAATGTGCATGTAAGTGGCAGGGCCTAGCTGGCTTGGCTGAGTTCCAAGAAAGCTAAGCTAGGTATAGCAGGTTGGTAAGGAGATCACCAGGAAATACCAATGTTGAGAGTTACAATGGGACATAAAAAGAGCATCTTGGAGGAAGAAAGTATAAACTCCATCAAGCCTTAGAAAGCCAGAAACTGGCAGGTGGTGGAGTGGGGGAAGACTCAAGAATATAATTGCCCTTAAACACGAATAGGGTTGCATTGAAAATAATACCAAGAGCAGGACACTTACTGATCTTTGTCTAATACGCAGAATGAGTCCAGGAAAGGAAAATTTGCTGCTATACTTTCAAAGTCTTCTTGTGAAATATAGCCATCACGGTCATGGTCATAATTCTTAAAAACAGACTGAAGATGCAAGGAAATAAGAAAAAGAGAAGAAAATGTCAAATGATTATAGACAACAAAGCAGAGGGCTGCATCCTAAAATAAACTATAAATAATATAGTTATTAATGCACTTAACAGCTGAATAAAAGGAAGTGCAGTAAGTTATGGTTATTATTAATATTAATATTCCATCTTTATCATTTTTATAAGCAACTAAAGGCTGTGAGCATCTCTAATACTTCTTACTCCTTCTATTTTCCCCACAACAGCAATCCTGTGAAGGGACTTGGGCTGAGAGAGACTGACTGGTCCAAAGTCATCCAGCTGGTTTTCATGGCTAAGGTAAGACTAGGACTCACAATCCCCTGGTTTCTAGCCTGGTGCCTTAAACTACTAGAGCAAACTAGCTCTTTTATGCCTACCATAACTCATATAGAAATATAAAAAGACATGACAAGGGATAAAATTAGATAATTTTAGATCCTGGTCTAAAGAACTTTGAATATCACCCATACCTAAACTGTGCCATGAAATAAGGAACAAGAAAGTAAAACAGGAGACTCCATATGTTATAATATAGAATTCATTCACGTTATTTAATTCATTTTATTTATTGATTAAATTTACATGGCCTCCCATCTCATACAAGGTGACTAGAGCAGCAAATAATACAACCAACTATTAAAATAAAACATAAAAACCAATTAAAACAATTAAATTATTAAACAAGAACAAGACTGAGAGAGGAATAATTAAATATGGAGCAATGCTAGGCAAATTCAATATAATTTGAGGCAAATTTATCCAGCCTTTACTCCAGCAGGCTCATCTATGCAACCTGCTCCCAATTCAACATCAAATTCCTAATCTGATGCCTTTGAAACTGAAATTTGGCAGGGGTCTTCCAGGAGCAGAGCTTTCTCGGGATGGTCTGGAATTTGGGAAAGTCACTTCCCGGAAAAAAAACTACCTAGATTCAACACTGCACTCTTTAGGCACTAAACAAAATTTAACTTCTGTTAGGGTATGCTACAATGCTGCATAGAGAAGCTACATGCAACTGTTTTGTCACCTAGAGGTAAAACAGCCAAAGTTGGAATAGTCAATGTTCTATTTTGGAAGTTCATTCTGAATTCCATTGTTGTTAATTGGTGGGACAGGAGCTTGACAAATGCATTAATCAAATGGCACATATCCTTCAGTAGGCAAATTGTGTGCCTCTATAATATTCAAGAGTCAGTTTGGTACAGTGGTTAAAGGCACCAGACTAGAAAACAAATGACTGTAAGTTTTAGTCCTGTCTTAGGCATGAAGCCACCTTGGGCCAGTCACTCTGTTTCAGTTAGGAAAGAAATAATAGCAAAGCACTTCTGAGATCTTTCCAAGAATACCGCAAGGATTTGTCCAGGGAATCGCCATTAGTCGACCCTGACTTGAAGGTGTGTATATGCATATGTGTGTGTGTGTGTGTGCGCATGCACACACACACACACACACACCCATATCGTGCATAATGACATAAACTCTGGTTTTGTACATGAGATTTCAGATTTGGAAACTACTGAAAGCCCTGCTTGTTTGCGCATGACCTAACTTTTTTTTTTATTTAATTAAGTGCTCTACGAAAGTAAAAGTTAATTTTACACCAGTAATACAATTATAGTCAATTAAAAACTATTGAATATGGTGGAGTGAATGAGAGAATACAGATCATTCATGCATTCGTGAGATAGGTGAGAAGATAGGAAAATAAATTGGAATTCTACTGCCAATACTCACATCAACTAGCTTTTGGATATGTTTATTAATAATACTTGGGTCAGGCTTTGGTATTACACCAGATGCCCACTCAAGGGGTACTCCTGGCTTTGTAGGGGTTGTTGGAGAGGTAGGCTGTGATGAAAACAAAACAAAACAGAGAAGCATTTTTAAAATTTTCAGTATGAATGAAGTGCCAGGAGCAACTGATTTTCTGAACTATTGCATAATAGTTCTTTCCTATTCAGTCTCTACAATTGGGATGGGGCCACCAGGATTATCCAGTTTAATCTTCTGCCAAGCACAGTAAAGCCAATTAAGGGGTCCCAAAGATGCTTTTTTTTCAAGAGGCAACTGGACTTTCTGGTTTTTCTTTGAAGATATTGCGCTTCTCATCCTGGAGCACCTTTGGGACAACCATGACCTGGATGTCTGAGAATCTCCATACACTTCCTTAAGGGGCTCTTGAAAATCTTCAGAGGTAGAGAACTCACAACATCTGCAGTTAGGTAGTTCCACTGTTGTACAGAGTCTACTGACAGGATTTTTACTTTACAGTTAAATAAAATCAAAGCACCTGCTACTTGTATCTACTATTTCTGTTTCTAGATTCTATGACCATGGAAATTCATATCTTCTTTCTTATGACAGTCTTTTATATGCTTAAACAGTAACACCATGTTTATAATGCTTTTAAAAAGTGTCTTTTTAAATTAAGATATGCCTTAAGAAATTACATTTCTGAGATGTTACAGCAACAATCTCTAAAATATAAGGCAGATGTGGGAGAAGGTTGTGTGGGAGAATTCTTGCTCTACAGAATTAGTGAAATGAAATGAAATTCTCCTGCTTAGAGCTCTTAGAATTAGAAATCTAGATTTAAGGGGGCTCAGTATGCCCCTCTAGAAAAATTTCAAAAATACAATGAAAAAATAACAATAAAATAGTAGGATATGGCTGTATTTACTTACTGATTTAGATGTTCTAGGTTCTAGCACCAGTGAAAGCTTATAAATATCATCTTCTGTGTGGTAGAGATCCAGTGAAAGCTGAAAGTCAAATAAAAGTAAACATAGCATATATTAATTATTGCAACTAATCTAATACCTTAAAAAACATATATGTCACAATTAGCTTTAATAGTTGTTTCAGTTATAGGAACACCACTCTTAAAAGAAGCAGTTGCGGACAGTTCATCTCTTTCCACCCATGACCCATTTGCCGTCATTCAATGCATGAAAAAAATATAAATCTACAAAGTATGTTTGTAAATTTGACATACATTAATACTCCAGGAGGGAACCATGTCAAGAAACTGGGAGTTAGTTGTGCAGAAACTGATGTGCGTGTGTTTGTGTGTGATTTCAACTTAATAGTTGATCGTGTCATGATCACATGATACTCCACGTCAGGCTTCTTCACTTTTGCAGGAGAGGAAAGTACTGCTGCCCAAACAAAAGCTGCTTTGTTGGCCAATCTCAGTAGTCATAAACAAGCTTTCCTTGCCAGCTTCCCATAAGTAAAGTCAATGGGGAAGCTGGCAGGAAATCAGAAGTCCTCATCATGCAAGTCCTTGCTTAATGACCCCTATTTACTCTGCTTCATGCCTCCCTATTTTTTTTTCTAACCTGAAGATTATCCTTGGCAATTTGATTGTGGCGGGGAGAAAGAAAGAAGGCCCCCAAATGTCAGCTGATTAGGTGCAGTTGTTTCTATATATCTGGGTGGGAAGTATACCCTGCTAATTTATTGGACTTTACATCTTTTGTGACATTTACTGCATCATTTTCAATGGGCCTTCCTTTTTTCTTTCTTGATGTTTACTTTCAAGAATAATTGCATGTCATTTATTTTTTACTGTACCAAGTCTCACCTCTGTCGACTTCAAGGTAAGGGATGTATTTATTAGGTAAGGAATACCTTGTCTCCTTACAGAATTTACAAAGGATTTAGGTAACCCCATTTTCTGTTTGTAATTTTCATTTGTTTTCTACTGCTTCTTTCATTTATTTCCCCAATGCCTCCCCCCGCCCCCCCGAAGCCTATTCTAACAGGACATTAATGAATAAATCAGAGAGGCCAGACTTGAAGGACTATAAGATGTCTCACCCTACTGTAAGGCTCAATAGAAAAACAATGGCACATAGTTATCCTAAACATCTAAAGAAATTAAGGAAAACATATTGGAAATTATAAATGTCAGAAAGGACCTGGAGTCTGATAAACTAGCGGGGTATATATGGTTTCTGCTCAGAAACATAGAAACAATTCCATATAATAAAATAGCACTTGAGGCCTTTAACCCTCTGACTCTGATCAAAACGCCAGATACTCTTGGGATGAAGAGTACCTCTCTTACCTCTCACCTAGTTTTAAAATTCATCTTTAAAAACACATTTCCTGAGTTAGTTTCAATCTGAAATTTTCTAAAAGATTGTAGTTCACACATGTTCATTCAACTGTAAAAACAACTGGGGCTTTCCAGGCATTTGCATATTTTCGGAACAGGTTAATTAAGGGTGAGATATAATAAAACAACTCTAAAAGTAATTTGTTCCTTCTGGTCTTTCTGTCAATGATCTGAGCTTGAACACCTTTCACTAAGAATTGGCAAAGTCATAAATAAAATACTGTTCATTTTGTGCATGTATGTATGTAGGTGTGTATATACACATACGTACATATACACACACATTTATATATACTGTGTGTATGTATATATATATATATATATATATATATATATATAAATTAAATTATAAATTATAATGTATGGTATTCAGCTTTGTTCGGGTATTGAATACCATACATGTAAATACCCGCGAAAACTTAGACAAAATCAGTAAGATACTACACAGACATCACATCAAGACTGCCTTCAAAACAGACAGAAAAATAGCAGCCATCCTTAGAAACCCCAAAGATAAAATTGACCTGGAAAACCAAGGCATATACGAAGTCCCCTGTGTATCATGCCCGGCCACATACATTGGACAGACCAATAGAAGAATAAGTACCCGCCTGGATGAACACAAAAATGCAGTTAAAAAGCTGGAACACACTTCCTCACTAGTCCAACACATGGGAGCCACAGGTCATAGCATCAACTTCAATGGCACCAAAACCCTAGCCACTATAGATAACCCCAGCCACAGAATCATCAGAGAAGCCATAGAGATTGAAAAAAGACCAGAAAGCATGAACAGAAGAGATGATTCCACCAGACTGTCAATCATTTGGAAGCCTGCACTCACAAACAAAAAAATCCCCACACCACAAGACAGGCAAACACCTGGGCACAAACAGATCCCCCCTGATACCTCCAGCTCAAACACACCCCAACCAGGCACCCAGATGAAACCTAGCTTCCTAACAAATGATAGCCGTCCATTTACCCGGAGCCAAGCTGCACTAAAGGCCTCCAAGGAATACAATGTTGCCAGCCAATCAAGATACAAAAAGAGCCCCAAAACAGACAAAATATATTAGAAACACCAATCAAGCAGAACACGGCAAACTCCAAGACCAATAAACACAGACCAAGACTCCCAACCAATCAGGATGAAGAAAAAACCATTCTGGCACAGCAATAGGCTGCCCCAAATTTAAATCTGAAACCACTATAAAAGTCTGACTCACAGATGAACACTATACAGAAGCCTGATGATGGCAGATGAGATTCTGCCGAAACGTTGCTACAACTTTAAAAGCACAACTGCAATGACGTGGGACAATACCCGAACAAAGCTGAATACCATATATACATACATACATACATACATATATTTGTTTTCTTAAGTTTTCGTGGGTACTTACTTGTATGGCATTCAGCTTCGTTCGGGTATTTCCCCACGTCACTGTAGTTGTGCTTTTAAAGTTGTAGAAGCCTGATTATGGCAGATGAGATTCTGCCGAAACGTTGCTACAACTTTAAAAGCACAACTACAATGACGTGGGAAAATACCCGAATGAAGCTGAATGCCATATCTATATATCTATATATCTATATCTATATCTATATCTATATATCTATATAGATAGATAGATGATAGATAGATAGATAGATAGATAGA